TATTCAATTTATATGCCGCCCAAACTACCCAGAGGTCTCTGGGCGGCTTACAATAATTAATTAATATATAATTGCCATTGGACCCACAGCTAATATTATTTCAATTAAAAGCCTTCTGGAACAGGAAGGTTTTGACCTGGTGCCGAAATGTCATCAGCATCGGCGCCAGACAAATCTCAGTCGGGAGGGCATTCCATAGTCTGGGGGCAGCTGCCGAAAAGGCCCTTTGTCTACAAGCCATCCCTCTTACCTCCTTAAGGGACGGCTCTTTCAAAAGGGCCCCCTGGCTAGATCTTAATTGCCGGGTAGGTTCATATGGAAGGAGGCAGTCCTTCAGGTATTCAGGGCCCAAGCCGTTTATTACAGTAATATTAATATATTAGGGTAGAATTACGGTGGTGCCTCACAAGACAATTTTAATTCGTTCCGCGAAAATCGTCGTGTTACGAAAACATCGTCTGACGAAACACGGCTCTCCACTGGAATGCACTGAAATCTAATGTGTTCCAATGGGCAAAAAAAATCGTTGTCTTGTGGGAAAAAAAATCTTGCAAAACGCGGTTTCCCATAGAAATGCATTGAGGTCTAATTAATGCATTCCCATGGGCAAAAAAAGTCAGAACAAAGTCAAATTTGGTTTACAAAGGGTTTATTAAATGCTCTTTAACGTCAAAAATACTGTGCAGGTAATTTCAAAAAATTCAATCAAAAACTTTAACTTTATAAATATCATAGAAAAACATTTTAAAATCAGCAAACATGAGGCAGGAACATCTGCCTTCATTGAAACTGAACAGGAACAGTCACTATAACAGTCATTGGATTGTGCAAACTCCTCAGAAAGTCCGTAAACGTACAGAAACCAACAGTACAGAAACTTTTTACATTTCACATTTTAAAACTGAACAAGTGAGGCTGAAGTCTCTAAACCACCAGGACCAGTGTTTTAATTGGGGAAACTGGAGGCACACAGAGCTGTCCCCACATCACAGCAGCAGTCTTCTAGGAGGAGGAGGAGGAGGAGGAAGAGGAAGAAGGCAACTGGGCACCGTTGGTGGAAGCAGCACGTTCCTCTTCCTGCCTCGGCCTCTTCGTGAGGACCTTCTCCACAGTCAGCTGCTTCTGCCGCCTTTTCAGCATCCTTCTGAAAGGGGATATGACCCTCGCGTCAAATGTGTTAACAAGGTCATGCGCCACAGCCTTGTCCGGATGGTATTGCTGCGCTATAGTCTGCACGTTTCGCCACTGGTCTAAGAACTCTTTCAGTTTCCTGGTGGGCAGCTGTCCCTGCCCTGGCTCTTCTTCCTCACCCAAAGAGGCCTGCTCCTCCATAGCCTCTGCTTGCAGCTCGACCAAGTCCTGGGTGGACAGATCCTGGTCGTGTCCCTCCACCAGTTCCCAGATGTCCTCCTCTGTGACCTCGAGGCCCATGATCCTCCCCAAGGTCACAATGTCCTCCATCAATGTTGACTCTGGTGCCGGCGCAGAAACACCAGAGTCACTTGTTGCCACGCAGTCTGGCCAGAGGTTGCGCCAAGCGGAGTTCAGATTCCTCTGGCTGATCCCGTCCCAGGCCGCGTTCAACTTCAGACAGGTGACAATATCAAAGTGGTCCCTCCAGAAATCACGCAGGGTGAGGTTGGTGGAATCGGTCACCTCGAAGCAGCGCCTGAAAAGTTCCTTGGTGTACTTTTTCTTGAAATTGGCAATCACCTGCTGATCCATTGGCTGGAGTACCGGGGTGGTGTTAGGCGGAAGAAACATGATTTTAATGAACTTGAACTCCTCCAACAAGTCCTCCTCAAGTCCTGGAGTATGAGCTGGGGCACTGTCCATGAGGAGCAGGGCCTTCAGTGGCAGGTCCTTCTCCACCAGGTAACGCTTGACAGCTGGGCCAAAAGCAAGATTGAGCCAGTCCACAAACAGGACGTGGGTGACCCAAGCCTTAACGCTGGATCGCCACAACACGCTCAGCTGGCCTTTGTTCACTTTGTGCTTCTTGAAAGCCCGTGGGTTCTCCGAGTGGTATACCAGCAAGGGCTTAATCTTCAGGTCCCCGCTGGCGTTGGCGCACAAGAGGAGGGTCAGACGGTCCTTCATGGGCTTGTGGCCAGGCAGCTTGCACTCCTCTTGAGTCAGGAAGGTCCTTTTGGGCATCCTCTTCCAAAACAGCCCGGTCTCGTCGCAGTTGAAGACCTGCTGTGGAAAGTAGCCGTGTGTTGTCACGACCTCCAGGAACTCTGTGGCAAAGTCCTCAGCCGCAGTAACATCGGAACTGGCAGCCTCTCTGTGCCTCACCACGCTGGGGATGCCAGATCTGGTTTTGAAGCGTTCAAACCAGCCTTTGCCTGCCTTGAACTCTTCTGGCTCGGCTGAGGTTCCGGGCTGTTGCTCCACGAGGTCCACATACAAGACCCTGGCCTTCTCACAGATGACAGCCTCAGTCACTGTGTCCCCTGCACGCTGCTTCTCCTGCATCCAGATGACAAGGAGCTTCTCCACCTCTTCCAGGACAGCTGGCCGGTTCTTTGCGATCCTGGTGACACCCTTCGCTGCATCCGTGGCAAGGATCTTCTCCCTCATCGCTACAATGGTGCTGATGGTGGATGGATTCCTGCCGTACTCCCTGGCGATGTCCGTGATGTGCTTGCCTCCATCGTACTTCCGGAAGATCTTGTGGCAAGGATCTTCTCCCTCATCTTCACGATGGTCCCGATGGTGGATGGATTCCTCCCGTACTCCCTGGCGATGTCCGCGATGCGCGTGCCTCTGTCGTACTTCCTGATGATCTCCTTCTTCATCTCAAGGGTAATCTTCTCCTTCGTCATCTTCCCGGCCTCTGCAGAAGCAGGCTTCTTGGGACCGATGTCAGCAGCTGCTACGTTCACAAAAACAAAAGGCAGTGCTTTACATCCGCTTCACCTTCCCAAACACATTCCCACCACTGGCCAAAAGTGCCCTGGACAAACAAGGGGCATAACACACACATCCCAGCACAAGCTAAGAAGAAAAAAAAAAAATAAAACTTGGCATAACACCCACCCACACCAATACAGGAGAAGAAATGCACACCTACTTTTTGCTGGCCAAAAAGTTCTGGAAAACTCCAACTTCACCAAAGACCACACCTACCTCACCAAAGACAGGATGACTTACCAAAAATAAAAATAAAAAAATAAAACTTGGCATCAAATCCACCCCCAGCAGAAGTTGATCCTCTAACTTTCCTGTGCATCTTACCAAAAAAATAAAAAAATTTCAAACTTGGCCTCAAACTCCCCCCCAACACAAGCTAACCCCCTAACTTTCCTACGCAAGTTACCAAAGAAATAAAAAAAATCAAACTTTGCATGAAATCCCCCACCAGCAGAAGCTAACCCCCTAACTTTTCTCTGCAACTTAACAAAAAAAATACAGTAAAACTTTCAAATTCATGATGTTTTCAGAACTTTTTGGCCAGCAAAACCAGAATGCCCCACAACACAGACCACAGTTGCTCCTCACGAAGTCAACCTTGGAACTGCACGTGGAAAAGTGAACCCAGGCTGCACTGGGGAGGCTTTTTAAACCTTCCTGGCACAATGCACAATGCATCCTGGGTATTAACGGTTGAGATTTGAACCAAAACAGGGTCAAGGACCCTAATGGCAAAAACACTGTCTTGCAAAGTATCGGTCTAAAAATAAATCGTCTTGCGAAGCATGGACCCAAACATCATCTTGCGAAAATCGCCCACAGAAAACATCGTCTTGCGAAGCACCACAGCGATTGCAAAAACTAATCGTCATGCGGATTAATCTTCCTGCGAGGCAATCGTCTTGCGAGGCACCACTGTATATTCAAAAATATATGGGACATGGTGGTGCTGCAGATTAAACCAATGAAGCCTCTATGTTGCAAAGTCAGAAGACCTGCAGTTGTAAGATCGAATCCTAAGATCGAATCCACACAACGGAGTGAGCCCCCGTCGCTTGTCCCAGATGCC